CTACATAGTCTCCCTGAACACAAGACCAAGTTGCGACAACGAGGTCAACCCACTTCCATAAGTCGAAAGGCGACTGCGACCATACCCGAGGCCACAACATCTTGGTCTTCATATCTTCAAGCCAAATCTTCATCAATGGCACGAATGTCCATCACACAACTCATCCTGGATTCGTTGCCAGGGAAAAAGGAATGTCAAAGCCGTTCGGATCTTCCACAATGCGGCCTTTGAGAGTTGATAAACGGATTCATATCATCAGCATTGCCTGTTAAGGCCGAATCTTGCAAAGTTGAAGACATCTCCTTTCCGCCAACAATCGTGTATATGAATGTACACTTATAACATTCCAAATAAACCACTGCTTTAGGTACAATCAGCCGTCACCCTTACTGAGGAAGATGAGAAGACCCTGGCCAGAAAAATTTGGACGCATCACTTTGTATTTCGATGTGCACCAGAAACTGGATAAAACCCGTCTCCTGGGCATTATGTGAGGATGCCCCCTTTCTGGTAAACCTCAGCCCAAGTCTCGCTTCTTTAGCACACCAAGTTGAAAGAGGCTTCCGACCCGGCAGGCCTTCGGATAAAAGAGTTTTGGAACAGGTCACTTATGGCTGCATCTCGTTTCGAGGTCAAACTTTCTCTATACAGACTGTTTAGAGCGAGCCATGCGAGGGGTTAAATCTAAAATGGCAGACGATAGCTTCACTTGGAGACAGGTCAAAAAGTCATTTTTATTTTTTCAAAATGTATTTCTTTGGTCTATGACAGGGAATAGTGATTCGTTTTCGGTGTGAGTCAGCACAATCACCATACAATTACCAAATACGACAGTCAATCCATTTGTTACATCACCCACTAGTCTGGTCTCTTACCTGCCCATCTGTCCCGGCCTCTACCACCCCACAAAGCCATTAATCTCTCACTCACTCGTCCGAGCAAAACCTTCAAAAATGGACTAACCGATCATTAAAAACTCCTGCCAAACATCTCGTCCGATCCCGAAACTGGTCAATGCATAAACCAATCCATCAATTATTTACTTTGGAGTTTATCTACTCCGCAAATTAAATTATCAGACTATTCACAATTTTTGACAATAAAGCAGTGATCAACGAAACCGGCCGAGCATGAGTATGATGAGGCGACCCCTTACTTACTTTATTCGTCTGTAGGCCAACCGATCACTTCTCCTGACAGTCATGCGAATCATCTTCTGCTTTATCTAATTTTTCATATATTCCCTCTTCCCTGATTCTTTTGTGTTTTGGCCCAATTATACGTCCATCTACTGTGCTCCAGTTTATGTGAGACAGAAAGCAATTGTAATACTCATGCATTCTTTTACGCATAACTTGGCGGAAGCACGCTTTTAAAGGTTCTATTTCTCCATTCCCCTTCACATATTATACACACTTTGGGTTGGAAGATATTCCCTTAGCTCATTCACTTATTCAACCGGTTTTGTAGAATTCGAGCTATTTCTGTGCTCGAAAAGCCGGACACTTGATTGGTATTAATACGCTTACAACAGATTGCCTTTCCAATCAAATTTCGACCTCGCTTGGCTCTCATCAGCGCTCCAAACGGCTGCAAAAATGGGCCTTTCTCTGTCACTTTCGTTAGTCAGAAA